AAGGGGGAACTGGGGTCACCGGCTCTTCCATGAAGCTTCTTGAGTGTCATAGGCTCCCCTTTCCCCCGCTACCTCCTCCATGTAGTACAAAACCAGCAGCCAACTATTTCTCTGCAATGACCGTGAGCGCATTAAAAATAATAATAATAAAATTTCTAGAGACACATCTTCTCCCTTCATGAATATGATGACATGACTGTAGGTTACAACTCCACCTCATGCTCTGCCTTCTTTAAATAGTCAATGAAAAGGCCTCAGAAATCACCCATGCCTCCAGTTTTTATAAAAAATGTAACCAAACCTTGTAGAAAGAATTCTCTCCACAGTGGCTCCCTGCTGTGTCCTAAGTGTGATATCACTTTGCACATGAATAAATCTGGCTGCCCTATTGATGGTGTCACCTTGATACTCTTGTTTTTGTATAAATTTCATTGAAAAATTCTGAAAATATCTAAGTGAAAACTTAAAATAGCCGATTAGCAAATTTAAAATGGGCATTTAAAAAATCATAAATTTATTTGTGAAAACAGTTATTGAATGTTTATGGTGGGTCTTCATGCTTATAATATTTACATATTCATAATCATTGTATACATTTTTAACAAATATCAGAATATAAAATAACTGAAATGAATTCTAAATTTAAAAAAATAGTCAATTCTAAGCATTTTGAAGATTAAAATTTAGTTTTATTTTTATCATTGTGGTCCCGTATGAAATTTAGTGCCTGTTGCCTAATTATTATTTGACAAATATGCAATGATGACTGAAAGAATGCAGGAACAGGGCCTGGCACGATGGCGCAGTGGTTAAAGTCCTCCCCTTGCACGCCCAGGATCCCATATGGGCACCGGTTCTAATCCCGGCAGCCCTGTTTCCCATCCAGCTCCCTATCTGTGGCCTGGGAAAGTAATCCAGGAAGGCCCAAAGCTTTGGAACCCTGCACCCAATGGGAGACCCAGAAGAGGCTCCTGGCTTCGAATTGGCTTAGCTCCAGCTGTTGTGGCCACCTGGGGAGTGAATTATCAGAGGGAAGATCTTCCTCTCTGTCTCTGCTCTCTGTATATCTGCCTTTCCAATACAAATAAAATAAATCTTAAAAAAAAAAAAAGAATGCAGGAACAACTATATAATTCAATTTTTTTAAAATTTCATTTTTTAAAGATTTATTGATTTCTGTTTGAGAGGTTGATTTACACAGAGAAGGAAAGACAGACAGGCAGACACACATAGAAACACAGCCAGAGAGAGAGAGGGAGACAGAGAGAGAGAGAGAGAGAGACAGAGAGAGAGATTGATTTCATCTGCTGGCTAACTCCCCAAATGGCTGCAGTGGCTAGAATTGAGCTGATCCAAAGTCATGAACTTAGAAATTCTTCCATTTCTCTCATGTGGGTACAGGATCCCAAGGATTGATCTTCTGTTGCTTTCCTACATCATAGGCAGGGAGCTGGAAGTGTAACAGTTGGGATTGGAATGGTTCTCTATGGGATGTCACATTGCAGGATTATCATGCTACACCACCATGCTGGTCCCTTACTGTGCTACTAGGGTAGCCCTATAAAGACAGGTGTTTCTTTCTCCTTTATTTTTGCATTTTAAAATTATACATTCAACTTATGAAACAGAGACGTGCATACAGAGAATGGAGCAAGACAAAGAAAGAGGAAAATCTAACTTCTGTCTCACTTCCTAAATTACCTCAAGTGTTGGAGCTTGAACCAAACCAGCAATTGCAAGCATCAGCTGAATGAGGACCAGAGAAGGTCTCCCCAAGAAGCCATTAAACTTATCTGGACTATAAGATGCTGGACTCTATGCTTGGTATAGGCTGGCAATGAAAAATCTCAACTGATCTTGAACTGTGGTTATACAATAAGGTGGAGGAATCCACCATGGGGGGGGGGGCGTTAGGGGAGGGGTGAGGGGAATCCCAGTACCTATAAAACGGCGTCAAATAATACAATGTAATTAATAATAATAAAAATAATAAAAAAGAAATGATACCACTTTGCAAATATTGGAGTAAAATAAAACACGTCCTTAGATAAAATAAAGAAAAAGAATGCAACACAATAGAATTAAAAATTGTGCAGATCTGTAAGCAGGTGTTTGTCAAAGGATAGTCCATAGGTCTGGGACATTTAGGAAATTTCATTTTCATGAACCAATTTCAGAACTATTAAATGAGAGTATTTATAGCAGTATATACCAGGAAGCTGTTTTTAATAATTAAACACATTTTAAATAATTACAATAAAAATTATTAAAGTGATTTGATTTTAAAAAAAAAATATGTATTTTTGTTTAAGAGGCATATTAACAGAGAGCAGAAATGAACAGAGAATGTCTTCCATCCAGTGGTTCACTCCCCAAATGGCCGCAACAGCCAGAGCTGACCTGATCTGAAATTGGGTTCCAGGTCTCCCGTGGGGATACAGGGTCTCAAGCACTTGGGCCAGCCTCTGTTGCTTTCCCAGGCCATCAACAGGGAGCTGGATTGGAAGTGAAGCCGCTGGGACATGAACCAGAATCCATATAGGATGCTGGCACCACAGGTCAGAGGATTAGCCCAGGCAGCCAAGGTGCTGAACTCTGCAGTTCAATGTTCACTTCAAGTGTGTTGTTCTTTTCTCAGAAGGCTGTCTTATTCTTAGCTAATGATTTTGTGCACATACCATTCAGCACAATCAAAGAAATCATGGATTCCATGTATCAAATATTATGCAAAATTTAGTAAAATAATTTCACACAAAATGACAGCAAGAAATCAATGAGGAAGGTTCTAATCTTCTTAATGGGTGCTAAATCTGAAAACAGAGGTTTCTTAGATCGTGTAGGTCACAAATCCCATATTTTCATAATATTGTCAAGTTTCAGAGTATCATATACAAGTCTACTAGTAATACAGAAATGTCTCACAAAATACGGTAGTTGAATTTTTCATCCATCTGTAGCTATTACAATAAGCATTAATGAAGAATATACATTTCCAACTCTTTGTTACAAATCAACCCCAGGAAAATCAGAAATAGACTTTTGGGAACAATTAATCACAACTCAGGAGATCAAATACGCTAATTGGTCAATTCCTAAATGAGACAAACGCAAAGGTTTAAGGACATGATGCTTTAATAAGCAGAATTTTTCATGTACTCATTTTCAAAAGAAAACCCTTTTCTAATAGGGCTGCATTAGAAATTCACTAAGAATATAAAGATTTTTGATTATCACTAAGTCACATGAAATACATCTTAACAATTTTGACTCTTATTTCAATCCTGTAAATGTAAGATCAACTCTCTGAACAAAATCAGATTTTCTTCATCAACATCACAAGGTTTGAAAGGCCACCTTATATAGGAAATTTAGCTTTAATGCTATGTACAAAAAATAGTAGTGGCAGTGGCAGCGGTGACAATAATACTAAAAGAGGCAAGCCATCATTGCCATGATTCGTGGGGTTCAGAGGAGGCCATAATAACCAGTCTAATTTTTTGTTGTTAGTAACAAAAGCTAATGGTCTGTAGTGAAAACGCATGCAGATTTCTGAATCCAAGGTAAGCCTCGTTCTTCATCCTTGTCTATCACTCTTGTGGATTTCTATGCATCTTGCACTGAATAACTTTTTATGTGTTGCATTGACTTTGAGAAAAGTATTCTTTGGTGATAAGTGAGACATAATCATTTCATTGAACCAATGTTTGTTAAATGCATTAACAGACATATTTGTGAACATGTACCAAATTAAATTAATAAGTATCCACAATGTAATATGAAATTTCTCTTTAGTTACCATATGAAATGTCTGAAACAAGCTTGATTTAACTGTGCAAATCAGTCTCCTTTTCCTTCATGTCAATTAAAGAACAAATCTTATCATTTCTCTGAGGTCATTTTATAATTTTATTCTTTTTTTAAATGTTTATTTAGCTTCGTTTCTTTGATTTAAGCAAAATCAGTTCACAAATGAACCTGTAATTTCTAACGTCATACTTACTTTTCATTGGCAACAATCCCATTTTCTAATAATAAGCATGAAAAAAATTAAAATAACTTGTTGATTAAGTTACTCAAGCCCAGCAGTACAGAGTTAGTGACAGGAAAAAAAAGTATGTGAAATTCTATAATTAATATGTAATATAAGCTTTTAATTTTAAAATTTCATATTAGAATCTAGCAAAGTTTTATTAAGTGCAAGGAAATACTATATTCTTCTGAGTTTTACTAGAATCCTAAAACAACCCTGGAACTGGCTATTACATATTACAAAAACTGGACTGTTACACAAAAGTATCATTAAAGTTTCTTTTTCTGGGACTGGGTCAATGATAAAGCAGTAGCCTAGCAAGTGAATCCTTTGCCCACAGTGTCTGCATCATGTATGGGCACCTGTTCATCTCCTTGTTCTCTATTTCTGATCCAGCTATCTGCTAACGGACTGGAAAAGCAGAAGTGGCCTTGGCTCCCTGAACCCACGTGGGAGATGCAGAAAATCTTGTCTTCTGGCTTCAGATTGAGTCAGCTGTGATCACTGTACCCATTTGTGAACCAGCAAATGGAAGACTAAACCCTATGTCTTTGCTCTATGAAAATAGGCTTTGAGAAACTAAATAGCTCTTCAAAACAAATGCTATTTTTTCAAATGATGATGTAATCCATTCTGTAACATAAATGGATAGTTTCTTGAATTTGAGTCCAGTGATAGACTGTAATAGTTAATGATCTTGGGAGTAATTTCTTCAAATCACTGAAGAATATTCTTTATAGTGCTACTAACTCTACAAACACGAACCTGGTATCTTATTAGTACATCTCAGGTCTTCAGAAATACCATGCATAGATTGCCAACTAACTTGAAGTCAATATAAATCTGCTCTCCATCTGGTGTTGTCGCATTATTTGTGTCTAGTTGATTGGTTTATCAGCCCTTTGGACTTGAGTCCCTTCCTTACATTTGTGTTGTTTGTTCAGCTGTTCCAAGGCCTCTGTTGGTGTCCATGGCTGTGAATAATCTGACTGAGGTGACCCACTTCATCCTCTCTGCATTTACAAATCACCCTGAATTACAAGTCAGTCTTTTCCTGATGTTTCTCTTCATTTATCTATTCACAATATTGGGAAATCTGGGACTAATCCTGTTAATCAGAATTGACGTGCAGCTTCACACACCTATGTACTTTTTCCTTAGCAACTTGGCCTTCATTGACATATGTTATTCCTCTACTGTAACACCCAAGGCACTGGTCAATTTCCAGCCCAATCAGAATTCCATCTCCTTTATATACTGCTTTGTTCAAATGTACTTCTTTGTTGGTCTGGTGTGTAGTGAGTGCTTTCTTTTGGGATCAATGGCTTATGATCGATATGTTGCAATTTGCAATCCCTTATTATATTCAGTAGTTATGTCACCAAAAGTGTGCAGCTGGCTGGGAGCAATGCCCTATCTGATAGGCTTTACAAACTCTCTGGTGTCTATCTGTGTGATCAGCCATTTGAGATTCTGTGACTCTCACATCAATCATTTTTTCTGTGACACCACAGCTCTTTTGGCCCTGTCCTGTGTAGATGCATTCAACACTGAATTGGTGATCTTTGTTTTAGCAGGTTTCACACTTCTTAGCTCTCTCCTCATTATCACAGTCACATATGTGGCCATCATCTCAGCCATCCTGAAGATGCATTCGGCAGCAGGCAGGCAGAAAGCCTTCTCCACCTGTGCATCCCACCTCATAGGTGTGACTATATTCTACGGGTCTCTGATCTACACGTACCTGCAGCCAGATAACACATCATCCCTGACCGAGGCACAGGTGGCATCTGTATTCTATACCATTGTCATTCCGATGCTAAATCCACTGATCTACAGTCTGAGGAACAAAGATGTGAAAAATGCACTCCTGAGAGTTTTACAAAGAAAATGTTTCCCATGAGAAATCAAGAAAGTGTATAATAATAATAAAAAAAAAAAACCTGAGTAACTTAGGAGGTTGATTACTCCAACAAAAGGAAAAATACGTATTAACCTTCAGAGGGATGGCAGGAATAAAAGCCTTGAAATTTAGGAAGAGGATGAGCTATCACTGTATGTTTAGTGGCCTGTGCATCACAGCACAGACACCCAAAGGAATCAAATTGTTATCAAAACGCGGCTTGGAATTCCATGTCCTCAGATATCAAAAAATGTAGAGCAGAAAATCAAAAGATTGAGAGATCAAAGCACAGAAGCTTTATTACAGCTAGAAAGGATATTTATTATCCAAGAGCAAAAGGAAAGAACACACACACACACACACACAAAAGAAATATCACTCACAGGGCAAGGAGCAATAGCTTAGCAGCTAAAGTGCTTTCATTGCACACACCAGATCCCATATGGGCACCAGTTCTAATCCCAGAAGTCCAGCTTCCCATCCAGCTCCCTGCTTGTGGTCTGGGAAAGTAGTCGAGGATGGACTAGCCTTGGGACCCTGCACCCACATGGGAGACCTGGAGGAGGTTCTTGGCTCCTGGCTTCAGATGGCTCAGCCCCAGCCACCTGGGGAATGAATCAGTGGACAGAAGATCTTCCTCTCTGTAGATCTGAATTTCCAATTGAAAAGATAATAATTCTGTCTTAAACAAAAATACTGACAAGAGGTGGATATAAAAGAGTGAAGTGCAATGACATTTCCGTGTTCACATTAATGGGAGCAACTGATATCAGGTAGATGATATGGAAATATGTTGGAAATGTGGCTCATTCTTCCGTAATAGCTAATTTTTTATCATTATTTCATAAAACATAATTTTGATTGCAGAATATCTTACACTTGTGATGAATATAATTACCATTTTTCTACTAAAAATAGCACAAAAGCAACTTATTTTCAGAAGCAACTGTGTCAAATTTTGCATCTTGATATTTTTCTGGGATAGTGATAACATGGTAGGGTGCCATCTTTTAGTCAGCAGTGTGATCACTAGAGTACACCACCAGCAAATCACAATGTATTGCACTGCCAATCTTTTCATAATTAAAGCACTCAACAAGTTACCTAAGATAAAATGATATTTCTTTTTGACAATTTTTCATAGCTGTAATAAAAATATTCGGAGCATATGTATCATAGACAATTAAGATGGGATGTTGGAAATTTACATGTCTAGAATGCAATTTTGACTCAGAATATTTCCAGCTTAGGATTGCAGGTGTCCAGCTCTAGCAGAGTTCGGAACTCGAGAAGGATGCATGGAGTAGGTGTAAATAGGAAAGAAATGGACCACCACAATTTCAGGATTATAATGGACAATGCAAGAAATCTGTCCACTTTATTTATACAGAAGCAGTCACAAGCTCTGGCATGGACTTTCTAAGTCATGGTCAAGTGGGTGTTTCGAAGCATAATTTTGTGGTTGGTTTCACCTTAAAGCTCTCAATAGAAGTTCTCGAAAGATGGTGTATATCAATCAGTAACACATTCCTACTACAATCCTCATTCTACAACTTCATCTTGAATCAGTTAAGGAAGGAAAGGCATCACAAAGAAAAGGGGGACCTAAAGGTCAAGGATGGTCAAATGAGGGCAGCAGAAATAGAGGCAGCATGAATAGTAAAAGGCCCTTTTGTAGTTATCAGGGACTTTAACCTCAAAGCTCACATTGATAGTAAAAACACCACAGCAGTAACAATGCCTGAATAGATTTCAGATTTTTTCAGCTCTTCAGTGGGGTGGTCAATGCAAAGGAAGGTGGAACTGCCTTCAGGTGGTTTGTAGAGACATCCACAGGGCCCTGCTATGCAGCAGAAAATTCCTTGCAGCCCTGCCTGCAATAGAACAGTTCTCCACACAGCTTTGTGTCCCCCACACCAACTGCAAAGACCCCAACATAGGATGAGTTTATTGGGACAGAATCCTACTATTAGTCTGTATCTGTTCAGAATAATGTGAGCTGTTCATTAAATTCAATAGTCTCTACTCCAACATCAAATTCTCAATCTAAATAAATATAGTTTGTCACCTCGTTCAAAGACTGGATACAAGTTTGGGTGTATGTGTGTATTGTTGTGCCGGTTTTTTGAAATCCCTAGATAATCATCAAGTCTGAAGTTGGTGCTAAGGCAAAAAGGTGGTTTATTCAGGTTAGCCTAGGTAACCCAGCCACCTCCCCCAACCCAGCATGGCTGGGTGGGGGAGGGGCAGCCGCAGCCTAGGCTGCTAGGATCCACAAGGAGGACAAAAGAAGCCCAGCCAGAAGAGAGAAGAGAGCCCAAGCCCCCAGTTCTTATACATTTCAGGCTATTAATTATACAGTCATGATTTAGCAGGCTTCTATTGGTGGGTTTGAAACAAGCAACTTTCAAAAAGTACAAATCGATGAGCTATTGGGCTGTGAATCTTATCAAATACCAGGTACCTCCTTCCTGAGGAGTGGTCTGCCTACGTGACCTGCCAGGTGTCCTGCCGGGTGTCACGTAGACTATCAGGCCTGGAGTTCACACAGCCCCCAGCCAAGCCATTAAGGCAGAATCACAAAAGGCAGAAAATGCCTAGGTTCTTCAGTATCTGTGTCCCTGTATGTGTGTATCTACATGTATTAGGATTTTTACTAACAATTTATGGAAAAGTGAAACTAATTATGTAAATAGACTCATTATTACATATCTTTTTTCAAATAATTTCTTCTATGAATATGCTCTTATAACAGTTTAGAACAAGGGCCTGGTGTGATAGCGTAGTGGTTAAAATCCTCGCTTTGAACGTGCAGGGATCCCATATGGGCTCCAGTTCTAATCCCAGCAGCCCCGCTTCCCATCCTGCTCTCTGCTTGTGGCCTGGGAAGGCAGTCAAGGACAGCCCAAAGCCTTGGGACCCTGCACCCTTGTGGGAGACCTGGAAGAAGCTCCTGGCTTCAGATTGGCACTGCTCCAGCTGTTGCAGCTGCTTAGGGAGTGAACTGTTAAAGTGCTAGTATAATGTTAGTATGTTAGAATGTTAACATTAGGCAATGTCAGGCCCTTTCATGCCAAGAAGCTGCTGCTTTGCTACGTCAGGATGCATCTGAACCATGGGAAAACTCCACTTCAGTGATAAATGTTGCTCCTCTGTGACCTTGTGAACAGTGTCACAAGTCTGAACCCAGTTGCAGGAGGGCAGTGGCACAATCCCAGGAAAAAGAAAACCATAAAGATAATGTGTTGGGAATGGAATGAGCTGTCTAGACCCGGGGGCCTTAAAGATAATGTATGTTGGAATGGAGTGGACCATTTGCACCTGCACTTTACGCTGATTGCTGTGTTTGAATGATGTATGTGATGGCTGAAACGGGGCCTATATAATCTTTAGCCTTTTGCTAGTTCAGGGTCTGGCCTCTCCTTGGCTGGCCTGCATGCCCCAAGATCAGTCTGACCCCAGCATGCTGGCACAATAAACTCTGCTTGCTTTTGCATTATCAGTGAGGCTCTTAGTTGTTCATGGGAAATTGACAAAACTGGAACCTAACAGAACCATCAGACGGAAGATCTTCCTCTTTCTCTCCTCCTCTTTGTATATCCAGCTTTCCAATAAAAATAAATAAATCTTATAAAAAAAAACCCAGTTTAAAACAAGTGGACACCATGAGTGGAAGAAATAATACAAATGTGTCTGACTTCATCCGTACAGGGTTGACAGACTCTGCAGAGTCCAACTGGTCCTCTTTGTGCGATTTCTACTGATATACCTGATCACTGTGTTGGGGAATATATAATGTAGGGATGATGCTGATAACCCAGCTCAATCCCCAAATGCACACTCCCATGTATTTGTTCCCTATTCACCTGTCATTTCTTCTGACCTCACTTACTCAACTGTCATCAGACCAAAAGCTTGAAAAACCTATTGACTTCCAACATGTATATATCATTCATGGCTTGCTTCACTCAGAGGTTTTTTTTTTTTTTTAGGATTTATTTATTTTTATTGTGAAGTCTGATATATAGAAATAGAAGAGACAGAGAAGAGGAGCTTGAGTTCAATAATTCACTCCCCAAGTGACCACAATGGCAGCTGCTGTGCCAATCCAAAACCAAGAGCCAGGAGCTCTTCCAGATCTCCCAGGCAGGTGAGGATCCCAAGGCCTTGGGCTGTCCTTGACTGTGGACCGAGTTTACTTTTAAAGCAAGATTTATTAGGAACATTGAGAAAGGAGACTCCCATCCTAGTGACAGGAGGGGGCTCTGAGATAGAAAGGACCCTTACCCTCTGCCATAGTGACAGGTGGAAAGTGGAAAAAGGAGACCCTAGCCCTCTGCCATAGTGACAGGATAAAAGCAGAAAAAAAATCCTCGTCCCCTACCATAGTGGCTGGAGGACAAGTGAAAAACAATACCCATATTAATGGTGGGGAAAGCATCTTTTAAAGGTTCCCCTCAAAGATGTTTCTCCATAAACAAAGAAAATTCTTGGTTTCCATGGTACCTGACCTTGGAACAAAAGACCAGAAAGGTGTCACTGGCCAACTTCCTTGGTCCCTTTCCAATGATAAAGAGGCCAGTCTGAGTCCTCCCCCTTGGCAATGGCTGGAGATAGAATTGGGCTGAAGCTTCAGGTGGGGAATTGATATGTTAATGTCACCCTTGTCTCTAGGGAAGGGTGTTCCTGACGTAAAGATATGCACTTGTCTCAGGAGAGACAAGCTCTGGTGAATGCAAAACATGGTGGGGAGGGGGGGTTTATGTTTGAGAAAATAATGATGACTTGGGGACCCAGAATTCCCTAACTGCCTACTACCCAGTCTAACTCCTCTCACATTCCGTCCCCCAGAAGAAGTAACCCTAACTGCTGTTAGGGGGTAAATGGGGCGGTGACCGCTCTGGCTGCTTCCTGCTGACAGGGGGCGTAGTTCAAAGGCAGCAGTTGGGTATTCTTCTGGGGGTCGGTCTAAGGGTCCCCAGTGGAACGCATAAGTTATC